GACGTATCCTCATATATATATATTGCACGTTTTCAGAAAAGCCAGTGTGGTACCCCACACAGAACTCAAGCAACTTTTGAAAGCAACAATGTTATATATCTTGAAACAAACAGACAAGTTCTTTTGACACTTTATTTGATGTATGTATATATATATATATATGGAAGTTTTACCATGATATACTGTACATACATTTACATTGAAGATTAACGTCGTTTGAATCCACATTGATTGTAGAGACTATATTAACATCATATTAAACCACAATGGATCGCAAACAATTCATATTCAATCATGATTATGCTATATGATCGTTTGCTTCGTTTTGGTTTAGGTCTCAGTGGGTCTTCCACCGGGAAAAACCGAGGTTTGCTCGACTCAATGTCACTTGGTACCGAAGGACGCCGCGCTGCGTCGCGGTGCGTCCGGTCGGTGAAGTCGGGACCGGTCGTTGATTTCTAGCGGTAGAGAATACGGTAGAGTATGATATGGGGCAGCAGAAGGATTTTGAGATCGTTTTTGTTTGGCCACCCCATTCCGATCTTCGGACGTCAAGCTCTAAAAGAGATGGTCACAGTGACCAGTGACGGTGTCAGGATGGACTTTCTCTTCACCAAAAAAGCGACCGCATCGGTCGATGGTCGAACCCTCGGGCGTTTCCCGGACGCAACTCACCGGGCTCAGACCCCCCTTCTCTGATGAGAATCAAGCCGGCCAACGGCCTACTTAGCCGCCGGGGACCCTGTTCCGTTTCGTGGACCAACGAAAGCCAGTTTGTGGCTGGATCAGCACTTCAGCAGAGACTCTGGCTGAGGTGCACTGGGGCATCCCTGATCACTACATGGTGCTGGGGCTCTCAATTTTCGAGGGCGTCGTGATGCAGTGGCAGTGGATGCCTCAAGTGGTTTGGTGCCTCAGAGGGTGCAAGACTGGAGAGAGGTCAAAACCATTCAAAGCCGCCAAGGAATGAATGGAGCAAGCTAAGCCCCAGAAACGAAGCACAAACATGCCTCTTGTTTTTTGTTTCTTTTTATAATGACATATATTGGCATAGGTTCACTATCAATGTGTTGAGGGCGTAGCCTGAAACCTAGACTGCATGCAGGTATTTTTTTTACTTGTTGATATTCCATATGTAAATATATTCTTGTTATATAATCGTATATACAGTGTTTATTCAATATACATATATATATATACATACATACAGTATAGCGGAGGTTAGAGACACTTCGGGAGCAAAGCCTGACAGCAGTAACATATAATACTTAATATACTGTATATTATATTTATGGACATGTGCAAAACACGGAGGCAGTCGTGCTCCGAGATCTGCTTTGAGTGGAGCACATCCAAGCAGTGGGTCTTCCAAACGAATGACGCTCACCGGGAATGTCGATGGACAATTCCAGTCGTCCCCAACACCTGGCTTTGTGAGTCCAGACATAATCCGACCTGTTTCCTTCCAACATAGTACTGCATGCTCAAAGTTTGGACGGTATAGCATCATTGTTACTGGAACAAGAGTGAACCAAAAATGAAAGACCCAGAAACACCTGAGGGTGTGGCTCCAGGCACGAACAAGGAAAACACATAATATATATATATATATATATGCTACCCCGCCTAAAAAGAACCACCTTAGCCTTGGATGCAATCATTCAAACATTGATATTGCTGCGTGCAGATACAACAGAAGCACTAAAAATATGTTTTTATCCGGCATTTTTTTCCAGTATTTGAAACATTCAATTTAAAAATCATTCAATATTACAAATATTTTCAAAATCTTTTCTTATGCTGAAACGGCTTGTGGAACAGTAGTAAGTCGAACTTAGAGCCAAATCCAAAACAAAACCAAAACCATGGAGAGAACGTTATTGATTTTGTTAAATTAATTTTATGATGAGAAACGGCTTGTGGAACAGTAACGAATATACTTGAATCTAATGGAAATCTAATAAATACAAAGCTTTGCACACCACAGGGAAGGTATCCATAGTCCTGATGGTTTTGGAAGTTTTGGAAAACAACAATTTCCATAATTTCCAAAATGTACAAAACTGTCAGGATTCAATGTATATTCACAAAACCTCTATGTTTTACTTTAAACAAATGGTGCCCTGACACATGAATTTGGGTGGTCCTTTTCTTGGGGGTACCATATATACTTGGATATAGTTGTTGTATATATATATAGGTTTCCACCCATATAGGCTTCCACCCTCCGCGGTCGGTGCTGGGTGGCGCTTCTTCCTCCAAAAGCGCGTGCGGCAGGTCCTCTTGGCAGCGCTGGCGCCTCGTGGCATGGAAGCCACCATGTGGCTCGGGTGACAACACTTAAGACTTATGCGAGTCGTCCATGTGGCTCGCCCACCACCATGCACCACCTGGAAAAACATTTTAACAACTATATAACAGCCGAGTGCTGAGTTTGGCTGTGTGTGTTTTTTGTTTTTTTACCAAGCCCTGGAGGCTGCCGAGTTCAGCTTGAGGTGGTGGCTTGGTTGGTCCCATCATCGGCCATTTAAGGTTTTGGTTGGTTGATATTCATTCGGTGTGTGTGTGTGTTTAGTGGGAATTTAAGCGTGCAGGCAACTTGTTTTTCCTTCGCAAACATGTATTGAGGATTGTGTGTGTGTGTTACGACCTTTCCTTCAAAGATGCCTGGCACGGTAATGTAGACTGTTTATCAACAAAACAAAATCATGAAGAGGTGTTGCAATCCAAATGTTTATTAATCAACAGTTTATAAGTTGATTTAACATAGCTAACGTTTGACCCCAGGATGGCACTGTAGGCAAAGCAGAAAACCTAGGTCCTAGATCGTCCTGCTTCTGCTGTCCTGTGGTGCTTTGCTTTGGAGATTTTTGTCGCTGTCAACCAAAGGGCTCATGAATCTGACATAATCTGACTGAATCTAGCAATTTAAGGCTGGTGTTCACTCCTTTCTTTGCGTGTGCGGATCAGCCCTGTGTTCTTGGAGAAAGAGTTCTCATCCACCACCATTCCCATGTTGAATGCCCCGAAAATACTTGACAATTTGGGGCCGCGGTTCAAGAGGTGTCTTTTCCGAGGTTCCTTTGTTCGCCAACCTGTTTTTCATGTTTGGATTTGTGGCCCTGGAGGTTGGCGCTGCTGGCGGGGTGCCACAACCTGGGTGCCACCTTGGGTTCCAACTTCGGCGCGGTGCTACTGGAGATCCTTCACGTGAAGCCACGAGGCGGGGGATTTGTAGAGTGAAGCTGTGAAGCGAGCCGTTAGTGGAGCATGCTTTGGGTGTTGGAACCTATTCAGTATGAGGGTTGACGGAGGTTTGGTAATCCAATATATTAATCAACAAGATATAGCCATAGCACTTTACCAACCTGAGGGAACACCTTGATGTTCAGGGTGAACCCGTACACTTCCTCCATGTGTGATCCATGCCTCCACGGCCTTCCGACGGTCGAACGAGGGCGATCCGGCGATGCGCAGCAGTTCGAGAACCTTTGGATGGCCGTGGCTTGGACGGTACCCGGAGACGTTGGATCAGGGAGGACAGACGGGAGGACAGACGGTATGTGGGGTCTGATTTTGTTGGGGGTGTCGTGGCAAAAGGGATGAGTGTGTTGAAGATCCCCAGCTCAAGGTGTTCAAGGTGTTCTTTGGAACTGCGTCTTGACCCAACAATTTCCTGCCAGGTGTTTTCTTCATCTCCCCTTCTCATTTCGGGATGCGGGTATGTGAGTGGATGATTTTCGGCGGCATCTCGGCATCCCTTCCAATCACCCGTCCTGGGAACCCCTTCCAAAAAACTTGGGGATTCTGTGACCTCTAGGAGGAAGAAACTACTGGGAGCAAAGGGTATCGCTGCTAAGAGCAAGGACGCCACTAGTAGCTCCTGGCCTTACTACTAGGAGCAAGAAGCGGTCAGGTGTTCTTCTGACACATCTGAGGCCGCCATCAGTTCGGTGCTGCTGCTCTTGGTGGCGCTCTTCTTGCAATACCTGCTGCCGGACTGCACCTGGGCCCAACGCTGCCGCCACGGCGGAGAGAAACCATTTGGAGCCTTCCAAGAGGCCAATGTCCTTTCTTCATGCTCAACAGAACCAATTGCACATGGGTCACTTGTTTGTTGAACAGAGTTTATAATATGCTATGGTTATGATCATGTTTATGGTGCAAATGGAAGAGGTTTGCCACTTTCTTACTGCTATGGCACACTGGGTGTTCTCGGGATTTCCATGAGTCCCGCCTTTAATTCCAGCCTTTGGCTCATCTTGTGGAGTTTAATATACTATAGATGTATGTATATATATATATACATGTATACTAAGTCAGGGTTGCATACCACTTCAGCCCAAAACCCAGGAGCCTTGCTTCCACATGGACCCCCACATGACCGTTTTCAGGCAAACGCGCCAAGGCCGGCAGACCGAGAAGATCACGGAGACCAATCCCACAGAAAATTCGCTGCTCCGCCGTTGGTTGAAGAGCTGAGCCGGTTGAAGTCGTCCTAGCCGAGGATTTCTCGGTTCAACAAGAACTCCTGGGATGCCATGTCAAACGCTAGTCACTAGTCTTAGTGCAGATATTCTTGGCTCCTTTTGAGTCTTTTTGAGGGACGTAGCAACTGGTGCCCGGCCGGAATTTCCCACAGGCTTCCCATGCCATTCATTAGACCCATCGACTCACGAGTGCCCGCGAGCGAGAAAATGGGCACTGCATGGGCACTGCCAGGGGGAAGGTCTTGGAATTTTCCCTCGAAACACAGACACAGATCAGCCAACCAATTCATGGCAAGGGACATCCTGTTTGGGTGTTTTGGGTAGGACGACCCAGCCCACTAGGTGCGTGGGTTTCCTACCAGGGCACCCATTGGGTTGGTCCACATCCTGGTACCTCTCTTCAAAGCGGAGATCCATCACTCCGTGAGGAGGGCAGTCGACTTGGAGACCCCTTTAGTCCTGGAGTCTTCTACTCGACCGGAGCACGGTCCAGCGGAGTCCAGCGAGCAGGAACAACTTTGCCAAGGCGGCCAAATGGAGCCCGGACGGCAGCGCACGGGGCTCGGTTCTGCGGCTCCGGGCCAACAGGGTGGCGCTTGGTCACTTTGATCCCACGTGGGTGGAACAATATGAGAAGTCAGGACTAGTAGTGGGTTAGAGCATCTTAATTAAGATCATTGTTAAAACAGCTATGTTGCCTTTTTCCTTCTTGGAGGTATTGCCATTGCTATTTCAGGACGCACACACACACACACTCATTGACACGTTTGATGGGAATCCGCGCAAGAAGCACGTCTCAGGAACATCAATAACACGGCCGCTGTTCTTTGAGCTCAAAAGGAACGCACCGTCAACGTCACTTTCACCAGGTGGCTCTTGCCGTCCATGATGATGAGCTGCTGCGCTTGTACCAGGTGATGCATTTGATTAAGATTGATTAAGCACGATGTTTTTGCTGTGTGGTGGGTGGCGGGTGGTGGAGAATCCGTAGCTTTGGAACCGTGTCAATTGAATGTATGCTGCCTACAGCATCAACAAACTCTATTTTGGAGGATGTTCATGCCATTTTACACATTTTGCTATCAAACCAGTGTGTTCCAGGTATAGCTCTACCGAGTCTAGTATTGTACATGGTATCTACTTCCCAAGATTTGCCCCGTTTGATGTGTGTTTTGGGGGTCATGTCATATATATATATATATATATATGTGAAACTACATGCACCTGCTTGAACCCTGGTCATGCTTCGGTCCGCGGCCATTTCCTTCTTACTGCATACGCAGGGCCCTTGAGCCACTTCGTTCGCGTGAAAGCCATTTGCTGCGCTGCTTCGCGGTTCGTCAGTGGTAGCGGAGCCGGTGTGACGACCCGGCTCTGCGACGCCTTCTACCTCTTGGCGGGGGACGCCCCGGCAATAGGACTTGGCGACCTCTTCTTGAAGGCTGTCTTCAACTTCACCTACCAGTTTGACTTTGTGCGTCTTAGAGCCTTGGGGCAGTGACGTCACTACTTGCTTGTTTTGGTCTACGACCACCTTTTCTTCTTGGCGGCGAAGCCTGAGCTTCCGCCACTTCTTTGGCTTTGGCCACTTCATCAGGTCTACGCGTGTTCACCTTCCGCGTTGACTTCTTCTTCGCCTACCAGTTTGACTGGACTTCATTGCTTGGCCTATCATGCAACGGCCTCAACGAACGTGGACTGGCCGGACTTCATCGGCGAGTCCCTCGGCTACAAGTGCGGCGGCGGCTGCAGCACCTACTCCAGAGATGCCAGAAGATGGCCCTGGACTATTTCCTGAACACGAACAGCCTCCTTTGCTACCTGAGGTACCTGGACCTGTTCATCGTGCACCACCTGTTCAAGCCTTAGATGATCCTCTCCAAGAGCAGGATCCTTGGACTCGAGGTGCTGCTTCACGTCGAAGCACTCCCAAAGCTGGCCAGACCGCTGAAGGCCGACGACATGTTGACTATAGAATGGATCCCGCCCCGACATGGGGTGGTGACATGCCGGAGAAGAACTACAAGGACTACCACAAGAAGCTACGACTGTGGATGGTCGAAGCTGAAGCTCGCATTCCGAGCAACTTGATAGGCAAGCGCATCATCGACTCCATCCCGCTTGGCTCCAAATTGAGCGCCCTCCTTGGTTCCCTGACCGTTGATGAGATCTGTTCCGATGATGGCCATAGAGTCATTTTGAAGATCATCGAGGAAGCGCATGAGTACTTGAGAGAAAGCTTGGAGCAAGCTTTTGATGATGCAATATTCAAAGGCCGACGAGATCGTGGAACTTCACTCACGGCCTTCCTGACTGGCAAGAAAGCTGCATTCAATGAATTGAAGAAACAAGGATTGGACCTGTTAGCCTCAGCAGCTGCATGGGCGACACCTTTTAGGCCACTTGATCCTGAGGCAAGGGTCATTCACTCAGGATCAACGCCAGAGGCTTAAAGTGGTGACGAATGGTTCAATCGACTATGTGGAAATTGAGAAGGCCATTCAAAAGGTCTTCGGTGACAAGTTGGACGATCAACATGGTGATCATCCTCATACCCCTCGACGCTGGCGCAGTGCAACGTTTTGGGATGCCGATGGCATTGAGGACTATGAAGAGTCTTGGGATAATGGTGATGAGTTTGATGGCTATTCGCCAACTTCGGATGCTCCCACGGAAGATGATGACTTGTTTGCTGATCTGGTGTGTCTCAACGACTCCTGGGAGACACAGATGATCTTTCACCAGGAGCTACCCATTGTTATGGATAAAGCTGAAGCTATGGAGCACATCAGCGGCAACATCGAGGAGATCTTCCTGGAGACTCGTGATCGAATGTTCAAAGGAAAAGGCAAAGGCAAGAAGGGCAAAGGCAAGAGCAAGAACTTCTCCAAGACCTATCAAGGCTTTGGCAGTGGTCGTGGAGGTTATTTGGACCATCGACGAGCTCTACAACAGACTCGGATGAGCAGAGGCTATGACAAGCCTTGGATGCAGAGAGCTGGCAGCCGATTGTCTTTGACAGAGCTCAAAGCAAAAACAAGGTCCAGGTGCCACCAGTGCAAGCAAATTGGACATTGGAGTCGGGAGTGTCCACAGAGACGATCGAGCCCGACTGCATCAAGCACGACATCTAGCACTGGTTTCTTGCCGGTTTTGGCCACCAGTTTTTCACCCACGACCAGCCAGACACAATCGTGGAGGAATATCCTGCGCAGTCCTTCTTGAGCTTTTGTTTTGCACAGTATACACCCAAGCCTTCAGGAACAGCACTAGTTGACACTGCAGCACAGCATGGATTGGTTGGCATGGAAACGTTGAAACATCATGATGAGTTGTTGAAACAACGTTTTGGACTACAAGTTCAATGGACCACAGAGTCAGGGGGCATGGTTCGAGGAGTTTGCGGAACTGAGGAAAACACTTCATTGGCCTATGTCCCCATTGGTTTAAGTGGAAAGTCAGGTGTCCTCAAGGTTCAGATTGTCCCTGGAGAAATTCCGTTCCTCATTCCAGCTTACTTCCTCGCTGACCTTGAAGCGGTGATTGACATGAAGCATGCCACGATTATGTACATGGCCCTCGGTGTGACCCAAAAGATGACCAGACTCCCCACTGGACACGTTGCCGTTTCGATCGTGGAGTTCGGTCCTGGGTTCACTTGTTCCAGCGACTTTCCGCTGCTTCAAAAGTCAAGCGTGGAAGATTGACGAAGCCCACTGGTCATCTCACGCTCCCGCAGATGCCCTCCAGCTCAAGGCCATGGGTCCGCTGGCGACGTTTGCTCTTGCGGCTACTTGTCTCCATTTGCTTGCAAGCCAAGCAGCTTTTCATGCAGCTGACTCGGCAGCCTCAACTACGACAAGTTCGGCAACTACAGAAGAGGCGCGAGCACTTGGAGCAGCAAGCGCTTTCCTTGGCTCAGCAGGGGCAGAAGATGATGGCCGAGGCTTCATCTGGCAGTACAATGCCAGCACAGGGCTACTTGAACGTGTCCCGTCCAGAAGATCGAGTACGACCTATGGCATGCATTCGAGGACGCGGTCGCTACCTGGTTCCGGAGTTGGAGAAGTCCCCACATTGTGCTCACCTGAAAACCACACACGGTGCAAATCGGATTCTCTCCTACCAGCGCTGCGACCAATGCGGACAGGAGCAGCAGATGCCGCTGACACCTCTTCAAGACCTACAGCATTGGAACGACACGCTGGTCTATGTGAAATGCGCCTTCTTCGAGAAAGCCACCGAGAGGTTGGAAGCGAAAGTTGCAGCGAAGGAGAAGGCACGGGGAACTTCAACCAAAAGTTCATCGACATTGCAACCGACTGCAAAGAAGGCTTCAGCTCGAGCGGTCGGGACCTCATCGATGACGGGAACCAGCAAGATCACAGCGACCAAGTCTCGGTCACGCCCGGTGGTCAAAGAGGAGACGCCAGACGAGTGGCTGGTGTGCAAGGAGGAGGAACAGGAGATGGCGGCCTTCGAAGCGTTCTCATTGGCGACACGGAGATGGAGACTGGACCCCTGGATCCTCTGGTTCAGACTCACACTCAGCATTGCAGCCTGTGTCGTCTGGGCATGGCCATCCTGTACATCCACACACCGAGTCAGCGTCTCTACTGGAAATGCGATCGGGACAACTGTTCGATTCGATGGGCAAATCTGGATGCGACCTCCGAGATGGCAGATGCGACTTCCGAGATGGCAGTGGGAGTTCTTCTATGTCCCCATTGTCAAACGCACCAGATGCTTCACCTGGATGTGCCTTCCAACAGCCCGGAGGACGAGACGGAGATCCAGTGCACCAACACGGAGTGCAACCTGGCGATGTACATGTTCCAGTTGCCACTGGTGATGCAGAAGATGGGTGCCTTCGATCTTCGACGACTTCAGCCCATGTGAAACAGGGCTGGATGAGCACCATGGTGGACAACCACGACTATGACCAGTCCTTCTTCGAGGTCCTGGACGCCTTGGAGGTAGACTACAACTGCACTTATGCAACCGCCCGGATGCGGTGATGCTGTGTTTGGTGTGGTGCCGGTGTCTTCAAAGCCGACTATCAGCAGACGGATCATCATGAGCGCTGTGCGCGTCACCTACACCCCAGGGGATGGCTATTCTCTGGGCAGCAGTGTGGACTACCTCATCCTCTATGAGTTCGACCGGGACTTTCTCGAGTACATGAAGGACACAGAATTCGAAAGTGAGATCACTTTGTCCAGGTCAATGAAGAAAGAGCTGTCGACCTGCCTGGACAATTTGCTCGGTGACCTCACTGTGTATTGGAATCTATAGGAGGACAACCATGAGCCAGATGACATCGCAGAAGTGTTTGGCTCTATGACGCCCGATGATGTGATCGAAGTCTACAGCCCTCCAAGGGTAGTTCAAGCAGCGGCTGCACGTGGCCTGAAAGCTGAGATATCGATTGACCTCCAGACCGGCTATGACCTCAGCTTCAACAAGGAGAAGATCACCATTCGTGCACTACTACAACGCCGGAGGCCTCGGCTTTTGATCACTTCACCTCCGTGCACAAAGTTCTCTCCAATGCAAAACCTGCGGCCGCATCCAGAACGACTAGAAGATGAATTGCCTGCTGCCATTGAGCATGTGAACTACTCGATGGACCTTCAACAAGATCAAGTATCACGAGGAGGTCATTCATTGCATGAGCACCCAGACACAGCGACATCCTGGACGCTCCCGAAGGTTCAACAGTTCCTGGCAAGAGATGAGGTTTTGCTTGTCAAGTCAGATCAGCGCCGTTTTGGCCTACGCGCGAGAGAAGGGTTGAACCGCAAGTCGACACTGTTCGCGGTCACATGCGATCAGATTGCAGTGGAGCTCCAGCGGCTGTGCGCAGGTGATCACCCTCATGAACCGTTGATTGGTGGTCTACCAGCACGTGCTCAAGAATATCCTCCTGAACTTGTCAAGGCAATCATTGATGGCTTGATTCAGGAGTGGCGAGATCAACAGACTGGACAACCACGACACCTTCCTGACCGTGGTGATCTTGAACAATGGTGCGATGAGCTGGATCAAAAGAAGTTCCAATGGCGTGAGTTCCATGGCATGGCAGGGCTGGTTCTTCAGCGACCTCAATCAATACCATCTCATGGTCCTGGTCACCGACACCTTCGATGGACTTGGTGCAAGAATCCCTACGATGGTAAGTGGCTTCAGTTAGAACGAGCCAAGAGTGGAAAAGCCAAGCCATTTGAGGTGACCTTTCCCTACGTGGTGATTCTCTACCAGCACCAGGCCATGGTTCAGCAGACCTTCGCAGCTGAAGATGCGCCCAAGCGTTCAATCAGTGCCAATGAAAAGATGATGGTGTTGCGAGCTCATGTGAATCTTGGACATCCTAGAGTTCGTGAGTTTGTGAGATTGCTGAAAGCAGCTGGCACCCGGAATGACATCGTGGACTATGTGCTCAAGGAGTTCACATGTGCTGGCTGTGCAAAAGAGCAGAGGATGCCCACAAGATTGCCGTCCGCAACACCAAGAACCTATGACTTTAACATTGTGATTGGCATCGACTTGCTGTTTGTCCATGGAGCCTCACCATTGGAAGAACACCCAGTGCTGAACGTCACCTGCATCGGAACCTTGTACTCCACCTTTACCATGGTCGATGCACATCGCAGATCATCCGCACTGGTGTGGGCCACTTTTCTGCAGGCATGGCTCCGGGTGTTTGGTTCACCTTCTTTCCTGATATTGGATCAGGGATTGGAATCTGCCGGACATTTTGTCGAAGGCCTTGAGAACCTGGCCTGGGAAGGCCTTGATGCTGATTGATCGCAATGCGCCGTATCAAAACGGTGTCACAGAGAGACGAGGAGGTTTGTTCAAAGAGCTCTATTACAAGACCCGGGAACTCCACCAACCTTCCAATCTCCAAGAGGTCAAAGACATGATCCATGAAGTCAGCTGGGCACTTCAAACCTTGACCAACCGTTCCGGCTACTCACCTGCACAACGAGCATTTGGCCGGCAACCCAGCTTAGCTCTTGACCTTCTTGGTGATGGTGGACAGTTTGAACTGTCGCAGACAGGTGATGAAGCTTGGAAGCGATCAGAGGCGATCAGACAAGCTGCACGAAAGGCTTTGGTTGAGATTGATGGCAAAGAACGCCTTGATCGTGCCCTACGTTCCCGACCTCGTCGCGCTCGAGAAGAACACACCTTCGAGGAGGGAGAACCTGTCTACGTTTGGCGGCAGGGCAAACGAGGCTACCAGGCTAAGGTTGGTCTTGCAAAAGGGTGACACTGTTCGGGTCACCAGGAGAAGCGAGCTGTGGAAATCCAACAAAAGCCAGATCTTTAAGATGGGCAATTTGGAGAAGCAAGGACTCGAGAGCATTCCCCGAGATCTCTTGAAAGTCAAAGAAAGGTTGCGCTATGACAGCGAAAAGTTGGGCTACATCGACGTCACCAAGGAAGGAGACCCACGACTTGATGCTGATGGCCAACCTGCTCAAGGAGACCTTGACATCCATCGAAAGATTCCTCCAACGCCTCGAGGACCCCCCGAAGGACTGAGAACACCAGTCCATTCGGGCGCACCACAGACTCCACTTCCTGCAGCTCCATCGACACCAAGGCCAATGGCCATGCGAGAAATGAGATCCAGATCGCCAATCCGACAACCTGTGATCAATGTCATTGATGATGATGACCAGCCAGTTGATCTGGAGAAAGACGACCTACCTGGATCTACATCCACTCAGAGCCAGAGGCCGTCGACTCCAAGACCGGAAACTGCAACTCCATCACAGCCTATGACTCCAAAGGCGATGCCTATGTCATCCGCACCTTCGAGACCATCTCCGGAGGTGTCTTCACAGAGTTCTTCAGCGCCTACACTGCCGATGAAAGATGCTGATGAGCTGTGGAAAGCCACTGTAGAGAGCCAACGTTCCCGTGATGCTGGACCATCAACGGCTTCTGACCAAGATGAACTCCGACACTGGGTTCGCTATGATGTTGCGGCCAGAAGATTCCGTGGCAGCAACAGTCAAGGTCCTCTCTGGGGTGATGTCATTCGAAGGATCACCCTGAACATAGATGACAGCAAGATTGTGGCTGATGAGGAGATCACGCCTGAAATGACCGTTCACAAGATCCACAGAAAGTTGCCTACAGGTGTCCGCAGCATCGAGACCGTTTTGGTCTACCGGAAGCGTGAAGGTCATCCTGATCCTGGACAGCCATGGCCACCACCTGAGTCAGTGGCTGCACCTTCGAAGAAACCAGAACTTCCGCTTCCTCCTGCTGAAGATGCACGCCTCATCGACGAAGGCATGAAAAGAGGACTTGAAAGTCCAGCGAGCAATCCAAGAGCTACAACAAGAAGCAAGCTCTTTCCGGTGTGGCATGCCGATGACAACGCCGAGTGGGGCAACAAGACCAACTACCCGATCGTGGCAAACATCCGCGACTTGGACCTCTTTTACAAGTTGACAAAGAATGACTGCTTCTACCTGCTCCAGGAGCTCTCCAAGCCGATCACCTACCTGACTAAGCAAAGCGGCAAAGAGCTCGATGAGAAGAAGCTTCCAGAGCATGAAAAGAAGATGTTCAATGAGGCCAAGCTGCTTGAAATTCAGAATTTGGTCAACGCCAATGCCATTGAGATCGTGACCGACCCCGATGGGTGTGCCAAGATTCGAGACCAATTTCCTGGTCGAATCATGCCATCCAGGTATTTGATCACAAAGAAAACTGGCGACGTTGGTGAAACCTGGAAGGCCAAGGCCAGATGGCTACTTCTTGGTCACAAAGACCCTGATGCATTGGAGCTTGAACGATATGCACCTACACCTTCCTCAACCACTGTCATGGTTTGCCTGCAAATCATTGCTTCAATGAAGTTCCAACTGCACATCATGGACGTGAGCAGTGCTTTTGGTCAGTCTGACCCTCATGAGAGAAGCCAAGGTCCGCTCTTCGCCACGATGCCACCGACTGGAATTCCTGGATACCCACAAACAGCCATCATCAAAGTGTTGACAGCAGTGTACGGACTTGTCAACGCCCCTCCTCTCTGGCGTCCGCCGTTTGCTCTTGGACCTGGGCTACACCGAGAGTGTTTTTGACCCGTGCTTCTACTTCCTGAAGGCCCTCAAGAGCGAGGTCATCAATGGCAGCAAATTTGGTGTGGCTGGAGTGGTGCTCCTTGACGTTGATGACTTCTGCCAAGGAGGAGGAGCACGACACCAGGAACTGATGTCTCAGTTGAGAACCAAACTGAAGTTAGGACTTTGACCCAGAAAGAGTCCTATGAAGTGCAGGTCTCCATGAAGCGCTACATCGAGAACAAGCTCAAGCCTGTGACCTTGCCAAAGGACCGCCTCAAGCAGAAAGACTCATTGCTCAATGAGCAGGAAACTTCGTGGTTGCGCGGAGTTGGCGGCTCTTTGTTGTGGGTGGGCAAGGAAGGCAGACCAGATGTTGGCGCTGCCTGTGCAATGGCAATGTCATGGAGCAGTGGAGGCCCTACGGTGGAGCATATCACCATGGCCAACAAGACAGTGGCAGAGTTGAAGATGACTCCAGAGGCTGTCATCAGGGTGCTTCCAATCGGTCCTGAGCGCGGTCTTTGGATGACCATAGCAGATGCGTCAATGGCCAACGTTGAGAATAAGTCCCAGGGCGGCTTCATCATTGCATATGTGGACCAGGACATCACCGATGGCAAGCTGGCTGACTTTAGCATCAATAGCTGGAGGAGTCATCGCTTGAAGCGAGTTGTTGAAAGCAACATTGGGTTCCGAAGCTCTCGCTATGGATGATGCTCTTGCTGAAGTCGAATGGGTGAGAGCAATGTGGCATGAAGCTTTGGATCCCAGCTCCAGCGTTCGTGATGGAACCCGACTTGGAGATGAGCAATCTCTGCTGGTGATGAGGATGCCTGAAGATGAAGAAAAGGCGAAAAGCATCCACATCCAGGACAAGGAGTTCGGCATCCATGTCATTGATGCTAAAGCGCTGTTTGACCTGTTGAATAGGAGGTCTGGAAACGCAGGCCAGGATCGACGGGCCCAGATTGACGTGGCCGTCATTTGTGTTTCGGCCAAGGCCATGAATGTAAAGACCTACTCGGTCCCGGGTTCGGTGATGGTCGCCGATGCATTGACCAAGCGCCTGGGCAACTCCGTCCTTTTGAGGCGCATCATGGCCTGTGCTAAGTATGCACTGACCAAGCAAGACCAGGAGTAATCCCCCCAAAGGATGTGAAACTACATGCACCTGCTTGAACCCTAGTCATGCTTCGGTCCGCGGCCGTTTCCTTCTTACTGCATACGCAGGGCCCTTGAGCCACTTCGTTCGCGTGAAAGCCATTTGCTGCGCTGCTTCGCGGTTCGTCAATATATATAGTATATAAATAGTTGAACTTCTTATAGATAGGCCAAAAGGGGTGGGATGGGCTGGTTGAATGCATGGAGACATTGCCCACGGAAACATTGACCAAATGGCCGGGGGGAAAAAACTCAATTTTGACATGACATGTTTGGACTAGGGAGATCCCCCAGTCAAGGGATTTTGTTTTGGTTCGTTTTATTTCATGTTCTTCTAAACACGGTGGTTTGTGGAGGCTAATACACACCAGAAAAGAGATGAAGCAAGGTTGTGGAAAGCCCTTTAGCCAGCCAAGTCCACCAAGCGACCAATCAGCCAAGCACCAGACCTGTCAGGTGCCCTTTGGCGAGGATCTCGAAGGCGCCAAGCCAAGTTGGACGAAGCGACCCGGTGGATTTCCAGACATTTCCAAACGGGTAAGTAATGGGACCATCCTGATGAGATCGTATGTGAAACCCCGGATGCGGAACTAGGTCCTGGTACCTTGCCCACCTCAATGTATGAATCCATGGCAGGTGTTGTTCTTCATTTGCTTCGTGCTCGATCCGTCTATCGGTTGGAGCGTTCAGGGTTTTGACATGAGTACAGGGCATTGTCACCATCATGTTGGTTTGAGACAGAGAGAATGGGCAGCAACTGAAAAGTCTTGCTTGCCATATTGGATGGTGCGTCCTGCTTGCCAGAGTAGTGACCTGACCAGCCACCATGCCGATAGAGAACGTCCGACCACTTAGGGGGTATAGTCATCCCCTCAATTGTCAGGAGCCCCAAGTCGTTCCACCACCTGTTTCTCCCGAAGATCCCTGAGCTGTTCCACGTGGTCCCGTCGTTCCATGCCGCTTGGCGCAAGGTGGTAGCCTTTGCCCCTATGCCAGTGCGGCGGAAGGGGGTGCGGTCCAGGGGCTCAGACGGCCCAAGCTGCGAATCAAAAACACATTGTTTGGCAGTGAACTTGATTCTGTGGATGACACGCCCCCTTTCCTCCAAGAGGAGGTGAACTCTGCCCAACCACATGATGTGTTTGTCAAAGCGCAGTTTGGCACAAAACTGCTGAAGAGCAGACCTATGAATCATGAATGTGAAATGCCCTCTTTGGGACGTTGTTCCTTTTCCAGATTGAATATGGATGGTAGCGGATGGGGAAACAATAACTCTTCATTTTGCTCCATGATCTGAGGAAAGGACGATGTTTGGGCAATCTCGCAGGTCCAATGTCAAAACAACTTATTCGCCAACAGTTAGTGTATTTATCAGGCTTTCGGAATGTGGTTTCTGGGCAAAACAGTTGTTGCACCTTTTGCAGCGGTCGCTCACTGCGGTGACGACATATGACCACAACCCACTCATGGCCCTGCAGAACGCACATGCCATGAATCCACTCCCACACGGCCTGCCATGCGTGTACTGTGTGCATTGCAGGGGACGTTGAAAGGGGTCAATGCAATGTAGGTACATATATATTATATATATATACAGTATACATATATTACATGCATGGAGCGTATAACATATATATATATATACATAGTATGATATTACAGTATATGAGTCGGTCAATCTAGCCGTTTAGCTTCATCAGAATTAGACCCAGCTAAGCTCATTTTCTGCCCGCTGTGGGCTTTGGATTTGTTGAAGTTTTATCACACCAGGTCCAATCACGGTGCCCTTAGGTCCTGGACTTTTGCTTCTTCCCGAGCTTCACTTGGCACCTTTGGCAAACTGGAGGGAGGGTGAACCCTTCTTGCGATCCTTAGAAAATGGACACTGCAGGATGTGTGTGTGTGTGTTTACATTAAAAGACTTCAGGCCTTGGTGTTTACCAAGTGTTCACCAGAGTGCTTTATCTGACATCGAAATCAGGGGGCCCCCACTCTGTAGACTCCAGCTTCGCCCAGGGAGTATCCAGCGACCTGCTGCTTTATCACAAGCAGCCAGGAGCAAAGAGTATCAGCAAGCACGCAGCTGGGCATGCTGGGCCTCCTCCAAGATTAGCCAACCCAGATTGGATTTGTCCGAGATCCAATCTTTTATTCTTTAAGGACTGCTGAACAAAACAAAGATGAACAATGTATGAAATAGACGATAGATTACTGTCACAAACCAGGGTTGATGTTGCAATCAACAATTGGATTCATAAATCCTTTGAAGTCGATTTTGCGGGCACTGCCCGTGTGTCGAAACCTGAATCAAAGGTGCTGGTAGAAGGAGCTCCATCATCTCCATCACAAGCAGTCCATGTTTGCTTCCTTTTCCGGAACACAGACTTCGTCCCTCACGAGCCGAAATGAAACCTTCAACACCGAACGAAACGCGCATGCGAACCGGACGGTCTGATCAGACCGCCAGGACCATCCGATCCACCTGCGGGACGCGGTCACGGGCGAGCTACGCAATAGTTATCGGCCTTTCAACCAGGTGGACGAGGCCGTTCGGTTTGGGGGCCCCGTCGTCGCAGATATCTTCACGTGTGGACTCCGGTGGACCGCTTGATTGGGCTGCGCCTGTACTGCATGGCTTTATGACCAGTGATATGCACTATCATGCCCTATCCGGGACAGAGGGGAAGGGAAGTATGCTGAGGGCCCCAACTACATTGCTACATCCTCAGAAGGTATATAGTCAAACATATTTAGACCATGTTAGAGCCACCAAGCTCAACTGAAATATACATTCTCGCAAGATTGTTTTACTGGTCCAACCTGTGGGCTTTGGTTGCTGCTCAAACAACACTTGGGCTCCTTCTGCCCGTACCTGGTCTTGCCACGATTGACTCATGACTCATGTCCTTCAAAGCCACCAGTTTCCGGAAAAAAAAACAAAACAAACAATCACCGGGAGGTGCACCAGCAAAATAGGCTACGCAACTGATTGATGTACTGTTCTGACTTCCTTTCCTGACCTCAAGAAAGCCAGGTTTGCCATGCCAGCAGCTTGTGCTTCTCCACCGACGGCAGCAAAATCATCGGGGGATTCCCCTTCTACTTGAGGGCCGGGGCCCCTCGAGAATGGAACGGCGGAATGAAAGGGTTGGGTTTGCTGGGCTCAATCTGGAACTGCTGCTTCAGTCATTTTCTTGCAATTTGATCCATATTCATGGTATTCAATAACAAGGGACCACCTGGTTGCGCTTATAGAAGGTCATCACATGTCATCACAATAAACGTCGATGTGTTTTGCTTCTATACGGTGCCAAGATGTGCCAGGTACTGAAAGCTAACCATGGTCCTTAGTTTGAGGGCAGATCCTGGCATGGATATCGGAACTAGTTCATCGAGTACAGGTATAGCAGGTTTGTGTCTAGGAGAGTCATTGCGAGTTTGGGCAAATCTTATAGAATTTTGATGAATCTTGTAGACTTTTAATGACTTTAGTGGTGTCATCACCGATGAATAAGAAAGAGAAGTGCATGGACAGCTGCCCATTTGAACAGCTGTGACCTGAAATATGTCAGACCATTTGGCTGAAGGTCTTTGACCTTCAGCGACCTGGACGTCAAGTCGAGGCCAGTCAGCGGATGGGGCCAGGCCTTTGCGTGAACCCCCTCGGTTTGCACAGTGGACTAGGCGAATTAGTCAGGCTAGACAGAGTCTTTGAGTCCACTCCATGTCTTGGAGTCTTTGATCGTTGCAAATTGTTGCAAACAAATCGCTCGAAAAAAGGAGTTCTGGAACACACATCGTTCGAAATCAATCGTAACAAATCTTCTCGTCGACCAGGTTTTTTCTTCGAAACCGAAACCACCATTTATGCATAAATCCACTCGGAATGAGCTCGAAGGACGTTTTGAATCATAATTACCAGTCTAGCGGAACACTCGTTTGGACCGCGGTCCAATCGACGTTTGTGGGCGGCCTGTTGACCGCCACCCCCCAACTAAGCTATGAAAGCAAAACAGCATAGACTCCCAAAAGCTCACACGGACCCGGGTCAAATGGCACCACGAGTCTGACTGTAGTCCTCTACAAACCAAAATGTCAGGGTCCACAATAGTCTTCAGAGTCTTCAGCGGGTATGTTCACTGGAGGAGGAATGTATACAATTGCTGCCTTCGCGTGCAGTGCGAAAAGAACTTGCACCTTCCTGTGGGACCTCCTAGTCAATCCATTACTTAGCCAACCCCTAGCGCCAGGTAAATGTCCAATCATGTCCAATCCATACCCAACCCCAAGGTAATGACTGTTTGCCTGTCGAAGAATATACATATATATATATATATATATTCAGGTTTTGTGAGATGAGATCATTGTCACCAATTCCATCCAATTCCTAAGATATGAGATATCCACCCTTCAGTGGCCAAAAGCATCCCAAAAAGCAACAACACCCGGTTCAACATGCCCAGGAGTTTGGTAGACTTTCCTGTTATGGTACTTTACTTCGACAAGCTTCTAACCAAGTATAGCTTTGCACGGAAAAAATTAATGGGCCGATCTTGAAGCCCTTTGAAGAGGCTTGTGACATCATATCAACTGGGATGCAGGTGAAAATTCCAGAGTTGAAGAACCCGTTGGAACTGCTGAGTTCTGAGCCGCTTTGCGGGTGATTACACCCATGCGCATGAGCCACTTGCTAAGGTCAATAGGTGTCCTTTGTGATGGTTGCCCAACCTGGTAAGTGGTGTCTCCAAAAACTACTTGGAGCGTCGCACTAGGGTTAAAGCTTTGGGGTTGAACGTCAGCACTAAGGACTGGCTCTTGAGCACGAAGAAGGGTACAGGACCGAATCCCGGGGTGGACGGGTCAGACCCGAAGACCTGAGCGGATTTCTTCTGGACCAAGGGGGTTTAAGACATCCCGAAATCGCTTGGTGCCACGTCGTTTCCCAAATTGTTCACTGGAATTTTCATTCAGACTGTCCCATTTGAGCCTCCGATTTGGAGGTGAATTCAGGCAGCTTGGGGGATCGCGCCAGAGCACTGTGCGCGGCGGGCAGAGGGTGTCGGATTCATGTTTGGTTCTTCTCCGTTGAAAGAAGCTGCTACCATGGTGAGTTTGTTCCTTCTTGGTTCTTCTCCGTTCTAGATGCACTAGTTTTCTCCATTCTGGCACCACGCCCATGCCCATGTTGGGTAGCTTGCCTTCCTCAGACCTTTAGTTCCAGCTAGCTGAGGCACTTCGCTTCATCCCGAAGACAATGGCCCAACGGAGGAGCTCATGTCGCTCATATGAGTCAACGGCCCAACCGCCCCCGACTTTGTGAGGACAAAAAGGCATCATTGGAGCCGTGGCCTCATCCCCTCAGCAAGGAGTGTGCGCCGGGCGCCGCCCCACAGGGGCCGGAGTCGTTGAGTTGAAGCCAAGGGAACTGCACGCCTACCTGCCAACGGAGGGTGGGATGGGATGACAACCTGTTGCATCATGTCGTGTCCCCCTTTTCTTGTATCACTTTTCGCTTAGAGGCTTAGAGGCTTTTAGTTGTTGTTGTTGTCGCAGTTGTAGTAGTTAGTAGTTAGTAGTAAGTAGGAATAGTGTAGTAGTAAGTAAGTAGTAGATAGTAGTAGTTAGTAGTAGTTAGTAGTAGTTAGTAGTTAGTAGTTAGTTGGTGTAGTAGTAGTAGTAGTAGTCGTAGTAGTAGTAGTAGTAGTACTAGTACTAGTACTAGTACTAGTAGTAGTAGGAGTAGGAGTAGCAGTAGGAGTAGCAGTAGGAGTAGCACTAGTATGGTAGTAGGAGTAGCAGTAGGAGTAGGAGTAGGAGTAGGAGTAGCAGTAGCAGTAGCAGTAGTAGTAGTAGTCGTAGTCGTAGTAGTAGTCGTAGTATATATATATAGTAGTCGTAGTCGAAGTAGTAGTACATAGTAGTCGTAGTCGCAGTAGTATAGTACATAGTAGGCGTACTCGTAGTGGTAGTGGTAGTGGTAGTGGCAGTAGGAGCAGCAGCAGCACTAGTCATTAACCAAAATCAGCTCAGGGAGAGAGTAGCATTCTGTCATTCCAACCCCAAAGACAGTTCAAGGGTAGGGAGTAATCTGGGAAGGGAACTTGACAATTCATGCATTGGCTGACTTGCTGACTTACTTGCTGGCTGGCTGGCTTCGCTTGCTGGTCTGGCTTGGCTTGGCTTGCTTAGTTTGCTTTGCCTTGCTTTGCCTTGCCCGGCTGCTTGAATGCTGCATGCTTGCTTGCTAACTTCCTCATGAGCATGTTCGAAGTGCTTCGAGTGCTCTTTGATGCCTTTGACAATTTAATTGGGTCGCCTGGGGAAAGTTGTTTTCATGTGTTTTCATGTGCAACGACCAAATGAGTCCTGAGACACGTCACTGAGATAGGTACGCTGCAGGCTCCTACCATGGAAACGTTGCCGTGTACCAAGAAGGATCCAAAGGCGAGCTACTCAGCTGAGGAAGCCGGTGTTGCTGAATTCCATTTCTCAAAATTTAGTGAGACCGAGCAATTGAAAAAAGACAAGGAACATAAAATAATGCATTAAACTAAAATACCTTTTGAGGGTTTGCACCCAAATGGTTTGGCGCAGAGTGTGTGCTTTCTGACACGAAGCCTTGACTCAAAACAGCTCCACTATACGAACTTATACGAACAACGTGATTCAACAAAAAATGAAACAGCTGTAGACAGCTGAGACCATGTAAAGCGCCGTAAGAAGGAACCAGCTCCCTTCATGCATTCAATCGTTCTCATGATGAATCTTTTGGCACGTGTGTGCTTTTATCAGCGCGTGCCCTTACACGATCCCTGCAGGCAAGGCGCTGGGACGCCTGAGTGAAAAGGCGAGTGCGAAGCCGCTTGGTTCGCGAGGTGCAGTCGTCGACGAGGACTCCAATGGTTGTGGGTGAGAACTAAACACCATCCTCCTTGTTCTATGTCTCTCCTCGTAGGTCGAGACCAGACGTGCCGTTTCATGGCGTCTGAAACAGCGCAGTCTCTGCTAGCTACTCTCCGGAGTCCGGACCTGTGGACCCAATTCGGACTGTTCGGGGTGATTGCAGAGCAGCCTTCATCCGGGGAGCCCACATGCTCGCTTGCATTGGGCATGGGCATTTGTTTGTTGACATCCGAGGCTATCGCGCGAACACCGATACTCGGAATCACTGGCCTACTTGTACCGATAGTTTAGTGTAGCCCTCCACCATGAGTAGAATGGTACTGTAAGAATTGAGCACAAAGACTTGTTGTGAGGATCAGATTGAGGAAAAGGCAGCCAAGCAAAATATAAGCAACCTAGACCTAATCAACCTATCACTCAGAGTTGTATTTGACTTGGATGGCCGCCACACCTTCCTGTGCCCCATGAGCTTGCTGAATCCCAAGCCTACCATAATCTACCTGAAGTTCGCCAAAAGACACACCGTGCACTTTTGCCTATGATTCTTACACCCATTTAGGGACCTTGTATTAGCCTCGTATTAGCATAGCCAATCATAGAGTAGTAAATATCTGTTCATGGACAACATCTTCCCCACGTGCCGGACTGTAGTCCCTTCCCCTCACAAATTCAAGAGCCCAGCGCGTGGGGAGCCCAGCTGAGTCCCACGGATTCACCCGCGCAGGGCATGGGCGGCGTGACGCAGTTGATGTTTGGCAACTCAGGATCTCCGGGCGTGGACAGGCGGAACGGAGGTGTTCCAACAGTTGTGGGTGGTTAGAAATCAGGTTGTTCCGTTAGTTGAATACCATTATTTGTTGACGTTCCCAAACATATAATGAATTATTATCTATATATTGTTGCCAGAAATACGGTCCTCAAAAGGTTGATTCAATGCTTCAAACATCCCCTTGCTTCAGATTATGTTGCACGTTTGGTCGGTTTCTATATTCCTGCCAAGAGCAGCATTTTATGGTCATTCAACATCCCCGAACAGAAACTTCTCAAATGTATGATCAGACATGTTCATGTTGTGTTTGTTTGGGGAATGCTTGGAGGCTGCGGACAGTCGGAATGTTGGGTTCGGTATGTTTGGGTTTAGGTTGAATAAAATCAAACACATACTAGATCATACTAATGGTTTCGGATATGTTTATTGTCAACCCGTACCTGGGGATGATTGGACCCTCTGACTAATATTTTTCAAGTGGGATGAAAACACCAACCAGCATATTGTGATTAGTATGGTGGACAGGATTGCTCAAGACAGAAGATCCTTTCCATGGACTTGTGAAGCAAATCATTGTCTTGGGCAGAGTGCACTGGACGGGATTTGAAGAGCAGACTCTGTCCAATGTTAGAAAAGTTGGATCAAGTTCAGGATGGTTCCTGCATGGACATCATGTCACATATAAAATGCCTTTTTGGCTTTAGTGGGTAACAACGGAATCTCAAGCATGACAATCTAATATGCCCAGGACCAATGAGAGGACTCCTTGCATCAATCTCTTTCCTTTGAGAGCCTTTGAAGCTATCATATCCTGGTGTCCACATGTGGACCTGCCCCATAGGGGGTGATGATCCACATGTGCTCATAGGCTGGGTCTATCAGAGTCTATTATTGCATGTCATATGTGTTTTGGGAATCGCGCCAAGACTTTGTTTTGAGGTTTGTAGATGAGTACCTCTTGCTGAGCGGCCATCGCAAAGATCAGTATCTCCGGATGTGTGGGGTGGCTGAGTCCAATCACGAGCATCGGAGATGGGGCGGAGGCTCCTGGAATCTCATATCGAGAAGACACTGCTTTTAATTACCCTGCTACGGACAAGTAGAACCAACAAAAGAAAAGACAAAATACAAAACCGGGCTAAAGGTCTAAAGAAAAAGACAAGAGCAAAATGAGCAAAATGTATAAAATCTAAAGTTTGAATCTAAAGAACAGAATCTAAAGGTCCAAAGAAACAAACATGGATTTTAACAATCTACTCTACTTCGAGTGATCTCCACCATGTCATTACTCCATGGCGCGTGCAGACCCTCCAGCCGCTGGCTTGCCACTCAGGCTCCACCCAAGAGCCACATCATAGCTCACACGGCTTCTGGTGCCATATGCCAAACTTGGCCTCCAATTTCTTCAGGCACAATGAACATGATGTCTCCATGATAAGTGGTGCTGGAGGTGCTGGTCACCAACCCAACTCAGCTCATAACGCCAAACATGAACAGCACCGGGTGTCCCAATTTTCAACTCGTGACCGGACGAGTCCACGGCCGCAACATCGCAGCCGCCTGACCGGACAGCTGGCTGGTGCGCCATGGAACCACTGCGGTGCGCAAAAGCAAACCAGTCGCACTTCTCGAGCCAAGTCGCTTTCCACCATCCTTGCTGTGTGGTGTACATACTTGCTGTGTGTTGGCTGCCATGGTCGTGAGTTTTGTGGTTCTCGACTTTCTTTGTGGGTCCTCGGGTTGTGTGCTGTGATTGTGAGATTGTGGTTGTGTGTTGTGATTATGTGCTGTGGTTGTGTGTTGTGGTTGAATGTTGTGTGCTGTGGTTGTGTGCTGTAAATGTGTCTTTGTGGTTGTGTGTTGTGTTTGTGATTGTGTTAGTGATTGTGTTTGTGGTTGTGTTTGTGATTGTGTGTTTGTGACTGTGTTTGTGGTTGTGTCTGTGGTTGTGTGATTGTGATTCTGTCCGGCAGTGCCCAGTGCAATCGGAGAACGGCCTCGTTTTGGAACGCGCAATTGGTCTCAATTTGGAACGCGGGCGATTGGTCTCAATTTGGAACACGGTGTTTATTTCTTTTGGTGCTTTATTTGTTGGTGTTGTTTTTCTTCTGGTGTTTTTTTGATGCTGCTTTTTCTTCTTGTGTTTTTTTGTTGGTGTTTTTGGTTGGTGTTTTGTGTTCTTCTGGTGTGTTTTTGTTGTTGGTTTTGTTTCTTTTGCTTTTTTGTTGGTGTTTTTTCTTCTGTTTTTTTGGTTGTATGTTTCTTATTGTTTTTGTTTTCTTCTGGTGGTGTTTTTTTTCTTCTGGTGGTTTTTCTAAGTTGTTTTGTTCTTCTGGTGTTTTTTTTAAATGATGTTTTATCCGTGCCATGTTTCATTCCAAAGCACACCTTTTGTAAGCCACGCAGGGGTAACATTTAGAGCAGGAAGGTGCCATTCCAAAGCATGCCGTTTGTGCACCACGCGGGGGTGAAGCCAAGCAACGAAGCAAGCAACGAGCCGCTATATATAGGCTATAGACTTTGTTTGAATTATAGCCCCTCCCCTGACCCCATCTCGAATGTTAATTGATTGAAGGAGATCAACACAATAGAGCATCCCAGCAAGGGATCCAGGAAGGAAGCGGCAAAGCGACGAAACCACCAACGAAGCCACTGGGGAGGCGCTGCGCCCTCCCCCGCGCCCCCTCGCGCTTATTTTGGAGGAGATCAAAGCAACAAAGCAAACGAGGAAAGTATACTACCTTGGAATGGCACCTTCCTCCTCTAAATTTGGCCCGCAAACCGATTTGACATCGCGTGCACACTACATATCAATAAACTTCTATCCAACGCCGGAATCTATTCCACTGCAAAATGAGCTGAATCATGTGCTCCAGAATGAGCTTAAACGAACAATTTCTGTGTGTTCCAAAATGAGCCGAATCGTGTGTTCCAAAAGGAGCCTCCTCCCATGCAATCGGGAGTTGGCGGTTGAGGTCCGGCAGGGAACACTGCCACGCAACCCTCACAGTTGAGGTCCAGCGGGGAACACTGCCACACGACCCTCGCAGTTGAGGTCCGGCGGGGAACACTGCTACGCGACCCTCGCAGTTGAGGTCCTGCGGAGAACACTGGCACACGACCCTGGCTATTGAGGTCCGGCGAGGAACACTGCCACACGACCCTCTTAGTTGAGGTCCGGCGGGGAACACTACGCGGAGGATGAGGAGGAGGAGGAGGTCGGCGACAGCTGACATAAATTCTAACAAACCTCAACTGACAGGTGGGGAAAAAGACGTCAAAGAAGTACAAAGGGTGCTGCTTTCACCTCACTTCGAGAAGACAGTGCATTTTCCTATGATCTTTCTTGAACGACACAATGATCTACGTGTTTTTTGGTCGACTCACTTTTGAGTGACGTGCTGCTCTCGCAGATGCTGCCGTATTTGCACTGGACTTCCCCGCGTCCAGAAGCTACAGGACTGGCAGTCAACTCAAGGGTCCAATCCATCACACAAGTGCCTCCGGCATTGTCATCAGCACCCGAGCAATTGTTGATGGCATCACTCTGACCTTATCTTCCTGCCGAGGGGACCTTCGCATGCTGGGAGATTCTCAAAAGGCAAGGGCTTGTCGACCATGGTAAGTGGAATCAGGGTGAAGGGAATTCAATAGTTGGGAACCATCCGATGGTTGGACACTCAGATGTTTGAAAAATTCACACATGGGCTCTAAGCAAAAGACTATTTGGGCCATCCATCTAAAGAAACATTCAACATATAGAAGAGCGGTTCCGAAAGATGTTTCCACATCCGCAAGTTTTGGTTGTTTTTTGATCAAATTCCAGCTGCAGATGTATCAAATGCCATCCCAACCTTTCAATCAAACAATTGTGTTTTCCCTCGAATTTATATATACACATGTTTCAAGCAACACTCACCCGCAAACACTGACTGTGGTAGCCACTATCAAGGCCCTGACGTGGACTCTTGTTCTTCAAATCAGTGAGACAATCCGATCTTGTGAGCAACTGCAAATGTATGCTGCAGACCAAGTCTCAACCAAGAACCCCCCAACAGGTTCATGTTTTGCCAAAAGGTACGTTTTGCCTGTGACGTGTGCATTTGCGTGAGGCGTTGCTGAACCGATTTCCGCGACAGGCCCAAGGGTCTGCAGCGGAGCCGAGCTTCTATGTATTGTACTGCAGTGTTCGCAGAATTGACACAGGAACTTTGTGAATGTGAGTTTGTATCTAGATGGAGGATCCAAATCTCGAGTTTTTGCTGATGAGTTTGTCATGATTTGTCATGGATGATAAACTCAGAATTTTCGACACGGTCTTTCCTCACCATCGTCACAGGTGCGCACGCACCAGCGGATGCTCTTCGGGATTCAGGCGACGGGGGGAATGTCGGGTATTGGTGTTGTGTGCGTGTGTCGCAAACGAGCGTAACGGTAGGTTTGCGGTGCTAAACAGTTAAACAGAAACAGACCAATCACACCGCTTGTGTCCATTATCCTTTCTATACTACACTCAGTGCGTAGAGTTCTCATCAGACACTCCTCTTTTTCAACGAGCCTCGGATCCAGCGACGCTATGTCGAGCCATGCCTACAGGTTCCGGTCGAGTCAAGAGTTAAGAGGTTGTTTCGCAGTTGATTGAGGAATGTTCCGCAAAGGAAAAAGGAACAAGATCCGGATTGTGCTTTGATATGTTCTCTTGATCTATAAGTCTACACACACACACTCTCTCACTCTCTCTCTCTCTCTCGTCCAGAAAGGTTCCGATTGCTGCCAAAGAGGAAACAGAAAACATGCTGGGTTGGAGCACGCAGTCTCCAGGGCGACCTTGTCAGCTTTGGAGATGACCAGGGTGCTGTGCGGTCGAGGGACCTGGCGGAAAGCGCTGCGGAAACCGAAGCGAAGGGTGTTGGTCCGTGTCACCTGCGACATGGGAAGAAGCTATTGCTGTCACTTGACTCGACTAGGAATTTCTGAAGATTTCATTTAAGTAAAAACAGGCTAAGGGGAGAAATCTCTAATGTAACCCACCGCCCTGGCCTGGTCAGAGAAGAGTTGGGTGTCTCCTCATTTTGAGCCGCTCTGGCACCTCCAGCACCCTCTATCATTGAAATGAGCCTACCTACCCGCATCACCAACAAGAAAGTTAATTCCAGAAGTTGCAAAGGGGTGGCTATTGGAAGCTAGGGATGTTCTCCACTCACTTGGCGTCCAAACACCTACCTTTGAAATTCTTTGGAGCTCCTACTTGTTGTACCTGCACTTCCATCAACAGTCTCATGCCATACAGCCTTTGCACCTCCCTGATCCACCAGATAAAGCAACCATCAACTTGTTCTCCGACCAAATCAAACCCCCACTCCATCCACTCATCTCCATCTCCCTTTCATGTTACATCAATCATTTCAATGACTCATTTGCCATTCTTCTGAGGCTCTTCTCTTTGAGCTCATTCGAGGAGCTTGTGTCTTTTCCCGCACACCAGCGGCCCTGCACTGCCGCTACGCCCGGGCTCCTGGTCGTCGCCACCACCGCGTAGCCACCGTCAAAGCCGAACAAGGTGTTCTCGGTCGAGGGTCCAAGTCCATGCCATAGCCTATAGACTCTAGACACTCGTCCTTGTGCTACAATGCAATTTGAAGGCACCCTCATCGCGTCATCTAAAACATATTGGTATAATTTGGTATATATTGGACCTCACATCAGCATGCCATTTGTCCCGCAGAAAAAAGAACTACGTGCAACAACTTCTAAAAGCGGGTTCCGGAGCACGGGGGGATTTGCAAACATATAGATATGTACACATTATGCATGTATGCTGTATAATACTGATACTGTATAACATAAATTAAATCTATACCACTGTGTTCAGTAAATGATGTTGTTTCCACTCATCGGCTGGGCTGTTCAGATCCTTCGCCCTAGGCTTCGAAGGGAGAGCACGAATGGGAAGAGTGGTGACCTTTTGAGGCGAGTTCCGGGAGTGGTGACGTAAGAACATGTTCATCATGTGGAGAGCTTTTAGCAGAGCATCCTGATCTGCGTGATTTTCGTGTGTCACGGATCTGTATCCAGTGTATTTTGTTTTATTTTGTTCAGAGAGATGTTGAGAGTTGCAGTGTGATATAAGTGTTAGGCTAGCTGACTAGTCTAGCCAGTCGGAATAGTTGATAAACTCGCAAGTTTGTTGCAGGGTGTGGGTTATTGATTACGAAAGCCAGCCTTCGTAGAAGGCGCTAGCGGAGTTGTGTCTGGCGAACGAAGTGAGTAGTTAGGGGGTCTGGGGGGGTGGCCCGAGAAAGGTATACGTCAACTCAGCACATGCTGGGGGAGGAGGGTGCTCCGAGGGAAGGTTTTTTGAGGTTGTGTTGGAGGTGATTTTTGAGGGGTGGTGATGCAAGAAATGCCAAATGCATCATTTGCATCATCTGAATGGAAAGGTGTAGTTAGCACCTTGCAAGGTAGAGAGACCTAGGGTAGCTATAGTGCAGCTACCAGGTATAGTACTTCAAGTTCCCTTTCCGTCAACCGCTTGAGAACCTCTACACACGCACAGCAATCCACAGCCTTGAAGTCTCATTCGTGCTTTGAACTTGTATAGGTGTGTAAGAGGCATAGCAACATACTATTTATACGGACCCAGGGTAGCTACAAGTAGCTACAGTTCTGGTATGGCGCGCAGCTGTGGTTTTCAAGCTAAAGTCAAGGTGGCCTGAGACCAGGGTTTGCTGCCCTAAAACACTCTGTTCAGGCCACCTTGAAAATAAAGGTGTAGTTGGCACCTTGCCAGGTATAGACACCCAGGGTAGCTATGTAGCTGTGGTTTTCAAGCTAAATTCAAGGTGGCCTGAGACCACGGTTTGCTGCCCTAAAACACTCTGTTCAGGCCACCTTGAAAATAAAGGTCTTGTAGCTACAATTCTGTTCCCAGGTATGGCGCGCATCAGGCTTCACAGACAGTGGAAATAGCTTCTTCCCGGCTTTGCACTGCGAATCAGCCCCACAAAAGCGCTGGCTTTCGTTTTGCAGTTTCTCAGGTATGTTCTTTATCTCGGGCTATAAAGGCATTTGTTAAGGCTGGTGTATTTGTAGGTGGACCTTGAAATTGATCCAAGAGCTATTGTTGTTGTGGTGGATGGATAGATGTATAAGGAATATGTTTCATGGTCACCACATTTGCAAAACAGGAGCCTTATTAATTAAATAGGCTAGCCCGCTTAGGAAGGTGCTCTCGTGGTGGTGCACCGTTTTGCTTCCAATGGTAGGGGGCATGTCAATGTCGCTTGCTCAGCAATCGTTCGCTTACCCAATACTGTCAGTGGGTCGGCGGTCAGGTTTTGACGGCTTCATGAGGTCAACCTTTGAACCAGGCAAAACCGGATATTGACGAGTGCAAATGTTGTGGAGAATTTGCGTTTTACCCACTGGGAGGCAGTCTATAGCAACACTGATAGAAGCCGAGTCCTATTAATTATTTCCGTGCCAGCCAATGCCACTTGCCTGCATGTAGGCAACACAGCGACTACTGTAGGCTGTACCCGCACCGACCAACCATCCTCCCAACTGATTGCCCGCAGACCAACTGATCTAGTTCAGCGATATTTTGAAGGCACTTGGCAACAAACAGGAAAGCGGACAAAAAACAACACCCAGGTGTCCCAAAACAACGACTTTTTCCCGCAAGTCCGCTGTAGCTCTTCAACAGAAGCTGTGGCTGGTTGATACACAGCACGACAGCACTTGCACCACAACAACCGCAGCAGCGACGACGGCGGTGACAGTGAAATAGTTGTACTCGCATCAACCGCATCGCATCAGGAATGTGTTGTCAAGTCGTACCGTCAGCTGGGATCGCTTTCAGTTGTGACGCTGCTGAAGTTCAATGCAAAACACAGTCAAGAGACAAGGCCCTTGCCATTGAGGAAAGAGTTTGCTTCGTTGCACCTCTGAACTGAAGGATTCCGTTGTCCGTTGCCCCTTGATTCCCGTAGTCCGCCCACAAGTGATTTTGCAAGTGTCACTCTATCAAATGCGCAAGGTATCTAGAAGCTGGCTGGGGTCGAGGCCCAGATTTCCTCTTCCTCCTCCGCGGCTAGAAACACAACAGGTGGTTGGACAAAGCTTTGCCCTTCCTTCTTTCCACGCTGTGTTTTTAGCAGCTGGTTGGGGGGCCTGGGTTTTCTCCATGACCGCAATTTCTTTTGAGCAAAAAAGCATCAGGCACTTTCATCTTTGGCATCGTTCGACATAGTGAACAACAACACCATTGCACACCAACAACGAAGCAAGAATCCATAATTTTTGAAGATTGCTCTCTTGAATATGAGACCTACCTTATGTGGTGCGGCTGCGCTGGACGGGCAACGTAAGGAACGGCAGTTTAACAGTTTAACAGCAGCATTTTTCTGCTCAAGGCATTCATGGCCGCTTCCCACATTGAAGAACCACGAACCTTGTGAAGGCCAGCGGCTGTCTAGCCCCCTCAGCAAACTTCCAGTGCGTGCTGCCGCACTTCTTTCGCTTCCGAAACGACATTGATATTTAACCCCCAATGGCCCGTCAGATGTGTTTCACAATTTTCCTTCAACCATTCAATGACACAAAGCAGTCCGTTCCTTGCGCTGGGTCCAGAGGCACTTTGTCGCCCAAATCAACTCTGAACGTCCAACAAAATCACCCCAAGCATCTTGCCTTCCATCTCTTTCATCGTGCAATCCTCTTCCTTTTCCAAACCACCATCCCAATTAGACCATTGAGTATAGGCATCCACCCTCACCACATAGAGCATCCATTGCCCATTCCTCCTCCATCTCTCATCAAACTTGGGCCAATATGCTAAGCTATCTTTGTTCTCATGGTTCAAACTCTCATGGTTCACACAGAATGTCCATAATCGGGTCATCACCTGCAAACCCTACTAGGAAAAAATTGCAGGCCCTTTCAGAACTTGACCACTGGCTTTGGGTCCGTCGCGTTCAGTCGACTGAACGCCGAACGCTCGCCTTCCGCGCAGTTGCTCGGGCTCACGGCACTTCCCCAACTATGATGCCTGGCAGCTGAGAGCGGGGTGTTTTGTGGGACATTGACATTGGTCTAATCCTTGCGGATGGAGGAACCCTCAAAAAAGTATGGTTCTAAGTTCAAAGTTCTAAACCGGAGTGCATGTGGTGTCTGTGAACTTAGCTTATACTGTATAATAGATAGAATCCTCTGCAGGTAAACCGCACATGTCAATTTTTGTGTTCCAGATGTTTCCAGATGTTGCTATCCAGATGTTTCCAGATACCCCAGGAGGAACGAAAGCCGCATCCAGACTCTGAAGCACACTACGAAAACCGCCTGGTTGCAGTGGTGACTCCGATGTTTTTCAACGGCAGCGAACAACGACTCGGAGTCGAAAAGATTGAAATTCCATGAATTCCCGGCTGGTAGCATGTGTTTTTTTTGTTTAAACACATATTTCAAAACGGATTCCTCCAATGTTTTCCATATAATACAATTGTTCATTCATGTTCATTCAGATGCATATCCAATATAGTGTCAAACACTTTGATCATCATATATACCTTCACGCAACCTCTGACATAGCTTGCTGCCCTAATTTTGGTTGCAATTTGTGTTGGTTCTTGAGATCACTCCATCCTGGAATAGACATATTTATATAACCACGGCACCAGGGATGCATGGGTCGGGTAGTGTCACGCTTGTCGTATTTAGTTTACGTTAGACGTCTCCAGCCACCACGTGCTGCGATAAAATGTTTTTAACAATGCCAGACACAACAGCTCATTCTTTCTGCCATTCTTTTATGGCACGTCTGAGTTTGACCGATTTCGAGCGGCTTTAGCAGTACCAACTAGTTTTTGTTGCACCCTCCTTTAAGCAACCACAACGGTAGTAATTCAGGCTCTCAAACAGATGAACTTGAGAATGTCCCTGCATTGAACAGATGTAGCAGGAAATGTTTCTGCAAGGGAGTCCGTCCTGCTTCTTCTTCTCCATATTATGGCTTGATTGCATGCCGCATGACAGTGTTGATGTGTTTTCACCACATGCATGCTCAGTACTCCCCCTCGGAGATTGAACCCCCCTGAAACATGCACACTCACAGGTTTGGATTGCGTGTCCAGTCCGATTGGCTGGGGATTCTAGCATGGTGTTGATCCTATATACATTCCACTTCAATATAGTTGATGTTCTGATACCAATTGAGATATGATGTGATTGTTTTCTTATATATGTATATGAGATGTGTTATTTTACTCATTGTAGTTTGTTTGTGTCATTTGTCTCACTGGTGTCATGGATCATGTTGTTGAAGAACTCCTTGGTCTATCGCATTGATTACTGTTGATTGGCCAAAACAAGAACCTTAAGCCTTCATCAACTGATGATATCGATTTTGTGGAACTAAGCGTGTCGTTATCGAAGGTATATATAGTGATCCCTGCAGGCTAGTACATAACATTTGTACACGTACTTTGCAGCCCTCTTTGAGGTCCGAGAAAAGGAGCGCCACTGCTTGCATGGTAGCGGAGCCCGCCAGGGCTCCTGCTCCTGAACCCCTGTGAAACCGGTGTAAGTCCCGAGTGGCGTCGGTGTGGGCGGCATCCTGTAAATCCACGTGAAATCTCGTGGTGTGGACTCGGCGTAAATCCCTGTGCCGGGTGGCAAGCAGCGCACATGGCCGCGCCGCTGACTCCTCCGCAGGCCTTCGACTTGGCCGCTGCAGCTGCTGATGGCTTCGAGGCGCCTACGTCCCAACCACATCCTCTCCTACCTCAGCCAGTTCCTGGTCCGCGCCTGATCGACACGAAGGCCATCGGAAAGCTCAGAGGATTCAGTGGAAAGGATGAAGATTGGCCAGCTTGGGTGTTCGTTGCACGGGGCTACGTGCACCTGCTCGACCGTGCTTACCGTGGCATGTTGGAAGCCGCTGAGAACGCCGCCTCCCAGAACGAGCTGTCCATGATCGATATGAGTGACACAGCTCAGGAATTGTCGACAGTGCTCTTCAACCTGCTCACCCAGAGCGTCGACGGCAGAGCTCTCCAGATCCTGATGAACGTGGAGGGCCAGAATGGGTTCCAAGCTTGGAAGGCGCTATGTGACGCCTATGAACCACCACATCAAGGAGACCGAGATCCTGGAGACGATCGAATCCTGGGAAGTGCTGGTGAGACGCTATGAGATGCAGTCGAAAGAGACAGTCTCTGAGTCCATGCGGGTTGCTGTGCTGATGAAGCATGTTCCAAGCCCGGTGAAAGATGCCATGAGAGCTGCTGGGACGCAGATTGGCACGAACTATGAGAGAGCAAAGAAGTTCATCCGGGACGACCTGCAGACCGGCAACATCTACAAGTCTGGTGGCGCACTGGCCAAGGATGATGGAGGCTTGGCACCTATGGATGTCCCATGCAGAGAAGGGAAAGAAGGGCAAGTCAAACAAAGGAGACAAAGGAGTCAACAAAGGTGGAAAGTATGACAAGCAGGGAAAAGGCAAAGCACCCATCACGAATAAGTTCAATGGAGAGTGCTCGTATTGTGGCAAGTGGGGCCACAAGAAAGCAGACTGCCGCACCCTGGTTCGAGATCGAGCGCGACGAGATGGTGACAAGGGCAAAGGCAAGAACAGCACCAATGCAGTGCAGAGAGCTTCAAGTGGTTCAGCATCACCACCATCACCTCAGGGAGCACCTGGAAGCAGCACCAATGCTGTCTACTACTGGATTGACCCAGACAATGACGAGAGGAAGGCATGGGCCGACACCTATGACATCGAGGAAGAGTACAGCGATGAGATGTGGGTGATGATGATCCACAAGGCCAACAAGCGGGTGAGTGAATGGCACCACATGAACATTTCCCAGCCTACCGCCACCTCCGTGAAGTACCTCCTTTGGGACTCTGGCAGTGACGAACACCTCTGCCAACCTGTGTTCAGAGGTGACCAGCACACCGAAGAGTGCCGAGCTGAGCTGCTAGGGATTTCTGGGAAGAGTTTGGGAAAGCTCGGAAAGAAGCGAGTGAGCTACAAGATTGTGGGCGAGGACGGCAACTTCCTGAACGCCATCACGGAATTCAAGGTGAGTCAGCAAGCCAGCAAGGACGTGCTTTCAGCTGGCAAGATGAGCAAGAGTGGATTTGTGGCTGACATGAGGAACAAGTTCAAGCCATACCTCAGCCATCCTGACATCTCATTCAGGATCCCTCTCTACATCCACAGGAACTCCTACTACATCAAGATTGTGGATGACGAGGCCGCGCCGTATGACATGAAGGTGGAAGCCACCGTGGCACCGGTGGTGAGGCAAGGAGACCAGTACGACTGGGAATTCGCTGGTGTTGATGAAGATGAAGAAGGGATTGAGATGATCCCACTGCCTGAGGAATTTGCTCGTGATGAAGCCCATGCTCGTGCAGACCGCCAGAAGCTACATGGGTGGAGGAAGGTGGCAGATCTTCGAGCTCGACTCAAGGAGTTGGACGAGCCTATCTATGGCGACAAGCACACCCTGTGGACAAGGCTGAAGAAAGCTGAAGCTGCATTGAATGCACGAAGGGCCTCTGCAAGGGACTATGTGGAGAAGCATAGCGAGAGGCAGCAAGCCTTGCGAGAAGGGCGTGGAGATCCCCAGTGATGAGGAGATGAGGCAGCATGCTTTGACACACCTGCCGCCGCAACCATGGTGTGAATTCTGCACTCGTGGCCATGGAGTCGAAATTGCCCACAAGCGGAGAACCCTGGAGCAGAAGCTGTCTGACAACCACTTCGAGCTTGACTACAGCTTCTTGAAGACCGACACCAGCCTGGCTGACAAGTTCGAGGAGTGCAGTGACACAGTGCTGTCAGTGGTCGACACTGGCGCCGGCATGGGACTGGCCTTCAGCATCCCAGCCAAGAACTTGGGCATCCCCTACGTGGTGAAAGTGATCACTTCCTTCATTGCCCAGCTGGGGTATGATACAGTGAAGCTGAGGTCAGACAACGAGCCGGCAATCAAGAAGGTGAAGGGGCAGATCGCTGAGGCCCTGAGGAAGGGTGAAGCACCCGGAGCTGCCGGATTGAAGATCATCTTCGAGGAGGTTCCAAGGTACAGCTCACAGAGCCTTGGAACGATGGGGGCATTCCAGAAGCTGCTTCGTGGAGATGTCCTGACTCTGAGGTATGCAGTCGAAGCGGAGTATGGCATCACATTGCATACATCCCACAACCTATGGCCCTGGTTGGTGCGCTACTGCTCTTTCATCAGATGCCGCTATGCAGTCAAGTCGAACCAGCGCACAGCTTACCAGGATGCCTTCGACTGCCAGTACACATCACCTCTCATCCCATTTGCGGAGACGGTCCTCTTCAAGACCCCCATGAGTAAGGCCAGAAGGGCGCATGGGAGAAATGTGATCACCAAAGGTGAGACGGCATGGGCAAAAGGAATCTACCTCGGCAGGAGTGTGACCAGCAACGAGTACCTCCTTGGCACGCCAGATGGCACCGTGTCAGCAAGATCTGTGAGGAGATTCGCCGACAGTGCCAAGGCCCATGATCGGGACCTGATGGAGGCCATGATTGGGGTGCCTTGGGACCAAGGAACTACCATTGGACGATCGAGGCAATCATGCCGATGAAGTTCCTACGGAAGCTGAGACTGATGAGAAGAAGGCCAAGACCAAGACCTTTGAGGAAGAGCCGACAGAGCCAACACTCAACCAAGGCGGGCCATCGTCCGGCAGTGGACGGAATGACGAACCCATCCTCATCAGCGAGAAGCCTGCCAATGTGGAGCCCTCACAGGAGGCGATGGAGACTGAACAGGTCATCGACAAGTCCCCCATGGAGATCAAGGTCTCTGCAAGACGTGCCTGGCCTGGTGGAGAAGATGAAAACCCAGAGAAAAGGGCACGCGTGGGCGGAGTATATGTTGGAGCACTGTACTCGCCGACCGAGGATGTGATCGTCTATGAGGAGGATGTGGAAATGGCAGCGGTGGACTCCGACGATGAGGAGAGCAAGCCTTTGACGGTGGAGGAACGTGCACAGGGCCGAGAAGTTGAATATGGGAAGATGGACAAGTACGACACCTATGAGCCTGTGTCCTACCAGCCCGGCATGAAGGTGCTAGATGCCACCTGGGTGGAGGTGAGAAAGCCGGACGGAGCAGTCAGATGCAGGTACTGCGTCCGCGAGTTCAAACGAGGTGATCCAAGGACTGATGTGTTTGCTGTAGCCTCCAGCACCTCGACTTCAAGAGTGGTGGATGTCATTGGCATCAAGATGGGCTATGCATTCATGACTGCAGATGCCGAGAATGCTTTCTGGCAGGTTCCCATCAAAGAAGATGCCTACATGCTTCCTCCGAAGGATTGAATCGAGAAGCAGATTGAGGCCGGTGTGACCCTGCCCGAGAAGGTGGTTTGGAAGTTGAAGAAGGAATGGTATGGGAGGAGGATTGCTGGACAGTGCTTCGTTGAATGGGCAGCAGGGCACCTCAAGGATTTGGGATCCAGCCGCAACCCAGCTGCACCCTGGCTGTTCCATGACTCCAGCAAGGGCATCCTCATGGAAGTCCGCATGGACGACTTCTTTGCCACCGGACCGCAGAGATCTCTGGAGGAGTTGGAGAAGGAGCTCCACAAGAGGATTCTGAAGAGCCAGATCCACCCGTTGGTTGAGGGGGAAAAGTTCACGCACCTGAAGCGCACAAGGGAGATCTATAGCAATGGAATCTTCATCAGCCCAAGGTCCAAGTACATCACCGACCTGCTGAAGATGTTGAAGCTTGAGAATTGCAACCCGGCACCGACTCCCTATGTTCACAGTGATGTGAAGGAGGGTGGAAAGCTCAATGAAAGCAACATCAAGTTGTTCAGGGCCGGAGTTGGCATTGCATTGTATACTTGAGCTACGACCGGACTGACATCCAGTTTGCCATCCGCGAGCTCACCAAGGACATGAAAGATCCCAACGACGGAAGCATGGCAAAGCTGCACCGCCTGGCACGATACCTGCAGGGCACCAAGGACTATGGCATCTGGCTGGAGCGCAGGGGGGACATCGAGACCCTGGTTGTCCATTCGGACACGGACTGGGCGAATTGCAAGAAGACGAGAAAGTCATGTGCCTGCGCCATGTTCAGTGTTGGAGGCTGCTTGCTCTACAGCTACGCCCGCAGCCTACAGATGCTGTGTTTGTCCTCAGGTGAGGCTGAGTTCAATGGAGGAGTTGCAGCCTGTGCGGAGGGATTGTTCCTGAAGGAGATCTTCATGTTTGCAGGACATCCCATCAAGATGGAAGTCTTCCTGGACTCGAGCGCGGCACGAGGAGTGTTCCAACGGCAGGGTGTGGGGCGCATCCGCCATTTGGAAGTGAAGAGCCTATGGGTTCAGGAGGCTCTGCAGCGAAAGCTGTTCACGCTGCACGCTGTGCCGAGCAGTGACAACACAGCTGGCTTTGGCACCAAGGCCCTGACGATCGAGAGGTTCCACAAGTTGAGGGCCATGTTGAAGATCGGCACCTATGAGGAGGTCACCAAGAAGGAGAAGAACCACGTGAATGTGGTGAGTGCCGCCGGTCAGTTCAGCAAGAAGATGATGATTGCTGCACTGATCACGATGCTGCAGCAGGCAGATGGAGCAGGAGAAGCTGATGAGCCCAATACTGAAAGTGGCACACTCAGCCAGCGGATCTTCACAGATCTGGCCATCGCCTTCAGCTGGGTCCTCCTGATCCAGGTGATCATGTTGGCCGGATTCCTCTGGCTGTTCGGCAAGATCAATGGGGGCTTGAGCATCCGACTTGGGAAGACGATAGAGACGAAAGATGCAAGCACCCAAGTCGAGTGGATGGCACAGAAATGGAGCAAGGTCTTCTGGCTCGAAGGCCGTGATGTTTTCCACATCGACTGCACGTGCCCACGACTGGCACAGTGGTCGAGGAGCTTTGAAGTCCTGCGCTTGTGCAGGAGCTGCCCAATAGATGGACCAGCCTGAGAAAAGCCTGTGGAACTATACCCCCATGTAAAGTTCCAAGGGGGGTGCAGGCTAGTACATAACATTTGTACACGTACTTTGCAGCCCTCTTTGAGGTCCGAGAAAAGGAGCGCCACTGCTTGCAATCCCCCCAATTCCGCATATGAAATGAGGTCTTTGGAACTCATGAGGTCTCGAGAGCTGTTTGGCCATTCGACTCGCATCTACCGATAGCGATCCGGTGAGGTCGACAGCCCCAACGAGCTGCCAGCAGAGCAGGCAACAAGGGGCAGCTATCCCGAGGGGTGTGTCTATGAAAACATCTAGATTGAGGACGTGTCTATGTCATGTCAATGACATGTTTGCCAGGTACGCTACTTCTGTTGTTGGAAAGAACTTCAAAGAGCGATGATAAATCAAATGTTCACCAAAACCTTAAAGACTAGGGTACAAACTGGAGAAAGAGACCTTTTCAAACCACTGGATTTACTGATGTGTCCCTTCAGTTGAGCTTCTGAACCTCTTGAGTGCAGCGCTCAGGCACCTTAGGTCTGGTCTCTTAGCTTGAGCTTGGCTGCGAACGCAAATCAAGATGGCCCCCAAGTCCCCAAGTATATAACTAATGGACACTAATGGTGCATTTGTTCAGGACTCTTAGAGCATAATTCCCCCCGGGTGTGGCAAAGACTGTCTTCATTCTTGAGATCATTTGTTCCAAATGGGGGTATGGAGGACCACGTTGAGACACATCACACGTTTAAAATTCATGCTATGATTCGATCCCCTGGGCGACACGGATCGACATAGCTGGCCTGGGCCTCTTCAACCTTGAACAGGTGCTTTGCTTCAGGGTCATAGCATGGCATAGTTTTCGCGGGGTCATAGCCTTCACCATGTTTGACCAAGAGTCTTTGTTTGAGAATGAACCTCATGGAATACATTTTGGGAATGGTCCCCTGAAAAGAAGACCTCGAAACATTGTGGAACATGAACCCGTTCAAGGATGATCTTCCACCTGTCAATGGGGTCTATTTCATTTGGTGATTTTGCCGGTCAGATTTTGCTCAAGTCATTGTGTAGCTGACAGGAAACGACCTGCCGGTAAATCCGGTGTCTCCGGGCCTCCTTTGACAGAGGTGGAGTGGTGGAGACAAAGGTCTTTTGTTTGTTGGACTCTTTCTTAAGTATTTATGACATGCAGCCACCAGATGGTATCATTCCTTTGAACTCAGCCTCTTGGACAAAGTGACGGTGGGAAGTTGGGAGTTGCAGGTCCCTGGATTTTACCATCCCGTCAAATCTCTGTGGGCTTACTCAGTTCCCAATGCTGATTTTGGATGACCCACTTAGAGCATGACATGGATCTGGCGTTGGTTCTGCGGAGCCTATGACTCATCGGGTGAAGTCATCATGAACTCATCGGGTGAAGCTGTTTCCTCGGCGAACCAAGCACCGTACCAAGCACCGCGTAGCAAGGGCGAAAATGGCCCCGTCCAGCCCAAGGGGACGACGAAAGGTAGCTGTTTTGAGAGAACGCCACTGGGTGGTGCCCAGGGATGGTACCCAAGCATGGTAATTTGAGTGTTGGATGACTCAAAAACGTTGGCATCCATCCATGTATGATCGCAACATGTGTATACTACCTACATTGAACCGCTGCAATTACATACCGCGGATGGTTTGTGAAGCATATCGTTTAAGCAAACCGTAAAGCCCAAGGCCTCAGACATGTTCTGATATGTTCAGTCAGTGGTTCTTCTTTTCCGGTACGCACCGGACCTGTCGCTTGAGATAACAAGAAGGTCTTACGCATTGGGAGCCTCTCCGCATGGTGAGAACAGCAGTCTTGCTAAGGTCATGTCCAAGAGGTACATGAAGAACTATGTTCTTTGCAAATACTACGCGGAGAACACTTGCACTCGAGGTGATTTGTGCCTTGCTTGCATTGCTTGACACCTAGGATATCCAAGGCTGCCGAATGAAGATGGCTGATCGGGAGTGCTACCTGGTACAAAGATGTACTCAACCGAATCCCTAAGGTTACGGGGCTTTTCTACAACCATAGCACCCGGACCCGGATGGATCGTACATTTTGGAGACACCCGGAGAGCAACGACTCTGGCGTCCGCCACGGATCCCAAAAACGCAACCGCGATCGAAGTCGCTCGAGCTGGCGAAGCGGTCGTTCCGGCGCCCAGAGGAACGTCCACATAAGGTCATAAGGGTGGGAACAAAGAAGAAACCAATATATTGTTTTATGGGTTGGGTCTGTCCTATTACCTGTAACAGTCAGTAAACAAATATCACTATGTTTGAGCAAGGCCTGCAACTGAACTATCATCATCCACTATATATTGCTGTGCATGTTAATAGGGTGACACCCAACCAATGTTTTTTGGATGATTTTGGTTTGTTTCCCTTGTTGCAGGGGGCCTTTGGGAGGTATCCCTATTTTTATACACTAAGAGATAGATATATATATATATATATTAATTTCGATCCTTCAAACCACCGCAGGATAGGTAATGCAACGCCATACATGGACTGTTTGACTTGGCAAAAGCAGGAACAGCAAGACGCTGGAGAAGATGGTATAGCGGTAGAGCATCTCTGTTTGTGGCAGGGGAATGTAATCGACAGGGTTTCTGATTGTTCCTGCGAGGCCAGGCAGCCCAAGATCGCAGAAAACGGATCTCCCAAGCAGAAAGGACAATGGACGGGGTCCAGTCTATCCTTTGAGCAGGTCGAAATGGGTGGTCCAGGTGATACCTTCATTGAGAAAGAACTGCAGAGGAACACACCAACTTTGGCCACAGAGCTGCCTGATCGATCTGTTACTGTGAAGGACCAGAATCGGATTCTCTTCCCCGAAGCCGACGACGAAAGAGCGATCCGTTGGGGCACAAAACCCGCACCACTGCACCTCGAGCCCGCGATCCGTACCTTGTCGGTCGCCTGTTCACCGCCGACCGGGTCGTCGCCCTGTGTTGGTTTGGGGGGAACGACTGAAGACGACGCGAACGAAGCGCGTGGCTCCCGCCAGGTGCAGATTCGCACATCGCCTTGACTTGATGCGGCAATGGCCAGAGCCTCCCTCCACACGGCTTGCAGCCAGTGGCTTGGTGGAAAGTGGGGGATTGAAACAAGGGTGGAGAAAAGGCCTCACTCGTGCGTGGCTCGGGCAAAGGGAGAATGCAACTTATATAAGTCGGGTTCAACATGATAAAACTGGCGTAGGGAGCGGAAGTGTCATGACTTGTCCGCATTTGGCAGGGAAAGGTGTCCCACATTTTTGGAGGGGTGGAAGATAGGGTGCACAATATGTTCAGATTGATACTGTATCTATTTTAGGGATTGGGTCCAAGAAACATTGGTCGAATTCGGTCGCTACTGGTGTGCCTGGTTTTTACATGTTTTTACCCTCTACCGTACCGTTTCTACAGGTGAATGAGATGAGTGAGTGAGATCCAAAAGACAACTCTGCATCTCTTTACACCTGAGACATCTACGATCCAAAATCATTGTTTTTTTGTATTTTTTTCTCGGACCTTTTTCAGATCAACTGCTCCGTGGCCCTTTTGGCCTGAAAGCAAAGTGGCAGCTGGAGCTGCTGTGTTGCCTTCTCGCACGGACGTTGTAGCTGCCTGCTGGCAGCGCGTTGGCTTCCCTTTGGGATGGCGCAAGCCTTGCAAATCTGGCACCACACTTTGTTGCCCCTGCGCTGGAGCTCGTGGGTTGGGTTGCCAGTCCAGGCTGTAGGTGCCTCCCATTTGCCATGCCAGCAAGGGCTTTGATGAAGCTGTTTGATCTTCTCCCTTGCTGAATTTTTGAGTGTTCTCATGCCACATTGCTCGCAAGCCAAATAGTTTGTCTGAATCACCAGCTTGTGCCCCTCCGGAGTCGTGTCTTCCACAATCCTTTTGATGAAGTCCTGCTTGGACTCCATGTTTGCATCCCCCCTGTCAAGGGCAGGCCTTTAGCCAGCTCATACTTCTTCTCCTTGGCATTGCGGAGCTGCTGGATGGGCATGTGTTGGTGAATTCGGCATTGGCACCGGTGGCATTGCAGCCCTCGTGGCATTGCAACCCTCTTCCTTTCGGCACCCATTGATGCCCTTCTTCCTTGCCCGTGATACTAATCTCAAGGTAGAGCGGCGCCTTCTTCTCGTCTCGGGTTTTTTGTCGTTGTTCCTTCCCCGAGGCCTTCTGGGCATGGATGAAGTGATCCGGGCTGTCAATGAGGTATTTGACCCTCTGTGCTGCCACTGGTGCCACTCTGTTGTATTTCCTGTCTTGCTCACGTAGTTCTTGTTCTTGTTCCAGCGGCCTTTTGGAGATGGCCACTTCCATTGCTGCTTTATTGGCATCCTTGTATCTGCTGCGCAGGGAAAGCCCTGTGAGCGGCATTGTCTTCGCCTGCTGCGTGGTGATGCTCAATGCTTTCACCCTCTGCCTCTGATCCGAGGCATTCCATGCTTTGACTGACGAGACATGCACTCTGACAGGAATGCTGAGGTGAACATAGTGAGCCACCATGCGCATCCCGTAGAACCAAACTCGGTCCTGCGTCTGCTTGCCTGGAAGGACTGTGGTCACCGCTCCCATTCTGAACATCTCGCCAGCAAAGATGGTATGGTGCACAATGGTTACCACGTAGCGCCTCAACCTGGAATCACCACTGGTCATGGCAATGCCACTGGTCACTGTGTCATTGCCCTTGAGCTGGATGGCATCCAGAGCTGTCCCTGAACCTCAGGCTTGTATTGCAGCCCCCCCTGTGGACAGCTGCACTGCCGGAAGTTGAAGCAATCCTTGTGCCCAGAACTCCAAATTGATGCCCTGTTCAATTTCCTTCTTGTCCCCTTCAAGCGGTGGACCGTGGCGGTTGGTTTCCTTGCATAGGCACAACAAGTGCACTGCCGTGGCTGGTTGGTTGCAATGAGGGCATTGAAGATGCCCAGCGTCTGTGCCCTCGGACATGGCGCCCTGATGCCACGTCTGTCGTGCTGTTTGCACCCGCGTGTTGGATTGTTTGGCAAGTCTCTTCCATGGGGTCCAATCCAGAAGGTGCTGTACATCCTGTAGCATGGTTCTCTTCTGAATGCTGATGCGCTCTCTGACCTGGGCCCTCTCCTTTAATGTAGAACCAGGTGGCATGCACGTTCAGCTCAATGTCTTCCTCTCCATTGTGTCCTGGTTTCGTCCACCGGTCACAGTGGGTTGAGTCCCATCCATGGTCGTTGAGGTAGCAGATGAGAGCTGCCACAGGTCCTCGTGCCA